GTGCATAGTTGTTCCGAAAAACCCTTATTTATTCAATTTCATCGATATCTAAGTGGAGTTTCTTGCCGTCTAAATTTCGTCAAAATAGTAAAAATCATGCCCAAAGTCATGATCGGTTTGTTTTCCGTCATTGCAAAGATTCAACAAGGATATTAAGAATCCGTTTGCAGAAACATAACGGAAACAAAAAGCAGCAGAAACGTCTTGGCTTAAACATGACGGAAACATTGCTTGGCATTTCCATTCCGTAAACATGACGGAAACTTGATAGAATCGCTAAGCTTGGTACAACATGTTTCCGCAAGACGTAAATGTAGCGGAAATATGAAGCTCTATGTTTCCGTCACATTTACGAAATGCGCAAACGTGAGATTTCGTCCTGTGTTACCAAAGTTATACTCCGACAAATTGCGAGTTTTTCACAACAAATGAAAAGTATAGCTGATGTCGATGATCTTGTGTTCCAAGTCTAGGTTCTCAAAAAGTCAGCGCGCGAGTGCTTTGAATTCTTATTTTAACTCTCGTAACCGGAACAAAAAAAAACAATTAGGCTGCCGTAAGTCTTTCAAGAATGCTGTCAGTAGGTAGGGAAAAAATTTTTTATTGAGCTCACGAATGAAATACAGTACGTTATAATCTCCGACTCGAGATCGGCTTGAATGGCAAAGCAGCACACATGTACACAGGGTTGGGCAATACAATCTGCGAGACTTAGTCGTCCAATACTTCTCAGTTGGAATTTTCTCGCGTGAGCCTTGGTTTTGGGTCCTCCTTTCAGTGAATTGGACGAAGATTTTTGATTAACCGGCAGAGAAAAAAAAGATTATGTAATATTTCCCTGCTGTCTCAATAACTCGCTCATAAACACAAAAAGACTAGCTTTCGCATTCTTTTTTGAGGAAATTTGACCTTGTCGCACCATAGGTGCATCGATACATCGCAGTGAAGACTGAAGATAGAAAATGTTTTACTGGAAAAGGGATTTTTTCTGGCCTCAAGTTTCAGCATAAACGAAATTTCTAGTTACAATACTACAAAAAACTGCTCGAAATGTTGACTAGGAAAAATTCTTTAAAAGTTCGTGATAGTAATGAAGGAGCTTCGTACAGTCTGCTCTTTTGGTCAAATACTAATGTACCTTATTTCTTACTAATCTAGTAATTTTGTCTGAAGCGGCTTTTTGCCAGGTATATTCTAAATTGGAAAGACCTTGTATAAACACTTGGTTCTAAAACTTCTTTTTCTCATACATTTTTAACCGGTCATAATACCCAACTGACTCCACAGGAAAATACGACAGCATCGTGTGGGTCTAAAACTTCATTTTTTCGTGCATTTTTAATTGGAGAGACATAAAACCAGTCTTAGCACCTTAATTAACTCCACAGGAAAATACGACAAAATCGTATAGTTCTAAAACTTCTTACGTGTCCCGCCGAAAATGTCTTAAACAATACCTACTGCGATTCAAAAGATTTCCGACATAATTATTCTAAATGGCTTGTATTGCGGTACAACTATCGTTGAATGTTTACCTAACAATTTATTTGAGTCTTTTTCCAACTGTGTTATTGTTCCGTGTAAATATTTGCGGCTTTCTTCAGGAGTTGGACTTGCTAACTTTTTCAAAAACACTCTGCTGGATTTCAGTA